TGTCTCCTCGTTTCGTGTAGTGTCGGGTTGATGGAGAGTAAGAGAGGGTAAGAGAGAGAGTAAGAGAGGGTAAGAGAGAGTAGAGAGAGTAAGAGAGAGTGGGAGAGAGACAGAGAGAGTGACAGAGAGAAAGAAAGAGAGAGAGAGAGAGAGAGAGAGAGAGAGAGAGAGAGAGAGAGAGAGAGAGCGAGAGAGAGAGATGGGTAGATATAGAGAGGGCCTTCCATAATTCATGAGATCAGGCTCTCACGGCTCGGCACGGCTCTGCGCGCCGGAGACCGACTGTCCCTCCGCGCTGCACTGTAACACGGCCAGCGGCGGCCAGTGGCGAGCCCCAGGACCTCGGGTGCGGTGCGGGGACCCGCAGGGTGCAGGAGAGCGTGGTCGCCGCGCCTGAGAGCGCAGCAGGTGGCACCAGAACACACGACCGCCCTCGTCATAAGCGGCCATACGACGTAGCAGCAGCAAGGCGCGCAGACAAACACACGTTTCGTGTGGCGCAATAAATGCAATGTGGTTCCGCTGTGCTGGTTTCTTTCACCCCCTTCCCCCCCCCCCCCTACCTAAAGGTGTTGAAAGCTTTGCGGTAAATTTGACTGTAAAGGTAGTAAACCCCGCAGCTGCAGCACCGATTGTTACGATACGATGAATATTCACTGTAAGCTATGGTGAAAAAGGTTTTATGGTACGCTATACGGTGAACCCGAGAGCATCACTGTAATAAACTTAACGTGATTTTCACTGGTTTTTTACTGTGAAATTCACCAGCAGTAGCTTATTGCGCATTGCTTGGGCTCCCCAGCCGCATGGCGGCGCGCTAGGGTGTGTTGTGATATATGCGTGGTTCGTAGCTCTCGGCGCGTGCCTGGCTCGTGGCCGACAAGCTCGTCATACACAGTGACAAGGGCAGTACCTGCGCCTCGACGGCGCCTCGAGGCGCCACCCTACCACAGTAGCAGCACATCCTCTCTGGCAGACAGGCAGCTATGCGCAGCCAGCTACACGGGCTGCCTGACAGCCCCAGCAGGATCAGCCTGCAGCGGAGCGAGTAGAGCGGCGCGACCGAGGCGGGCGCGGCCAGGCGGAGGAGCGGCGAAGGCAAGAGACTGGTGGGTGCACCCCCCGGGGGAGCAGCAGCAGCAGCAGCAGCAGCAGCAGCAGCAGCAGCAGCAGCAGCAGCAGCAGGAGCGAGCGGACAGAACGTGGCGGGAAACTAATGCGCTACTTGTTACACACTTGACTATACACAAAGCGATGAATGAGATGGCGTACGCGGCGCGACGTCCGTACGCCGTGGGGCCCATACAAGGCAGGGCGTACTCGGCGGGGCGTACTCGGCGGGGCGTACACGGCGGGGCGTACTCGAGGGGCACGCCTAATGGGCCGAGACAGGCGGGCCGGCAGCCAAACCCGGCCCGACCCGACCCGACCCCAACGACCGACCGCCGGGCAAAAAGGCGTTCGGAGGCCAGAAAAAAGAAGAAGGTACGGACGGGACGTGCGTGCGAGCGAGAGAGCGAGAGTTGGGGAGAAGAGGAGCCTGGGAGGGATCATAAAAGTTTAGTGCAACGATAGCCAGCGTCGACAAATCGCAAAAAAGAAAATTACAGCGTCGTTACGGCTAGTTATTATTTCGCCCTCTTTGGCGCGGTGGGAAACTATTCTGGGGGCCAAAAAATATATGGACCAAGTTTTCTTATCGGGGAGGTCGGGGGATGATTATCCCCGTCCCTGTCCGGACCATTGTCCAGAACCGAACGAGGAGCGCTGCGCCGCTCGACCTAGTTGCGCGATCCAGCGCTGGACTGGACTTCATTTGCGCCCATTTCATACTTGAACTCGGTCTGTAATTGGATCACGCCTGCAACGAAACTGGCGTTTCTCAAAGCTAAGCTAAGCGCTGGCCCTCCTCATGTCCGTTTGTTAGACTGAGTTTTTTTTTTTATTCTTGACCAATTCGTCTTAAAGCAATTCTCAAATCGTAAGTAAATCGTCTCGTTTTTGTCAGGAGTTTGGCACCTGCGAAACGCAAGGTTGGCCAGCCCGCAAAGCCTACATGCAATGCAGTCACGATCTTGCCTACCGAACTTGGCAGCTTCGTAACGGCGAAGGACGGATGTACTTTATGAATGATCCCCCACTACGAGGCCCTTGCAAGCGCAGAAACGTTAAATGTGGTTAGGACAAAAATCACAAAGCTGCCACAGCAAATATGTGTGTTGATCTAATAATTTTTTGCAACATGATGGTTTCCAAACTAACGGTATGCTTCCATTTTTCTGGGGAAAGCTCATGGCAGGGATGTCCACTCGTCCGCCGCAATGTATCCATCAGAGAGGCGAGACCATCAATTATAGAGAGCACACTAAAAGTTAATTAATTAATTTTCCTCTTTCAGCACCCGCCGTGTGTTCACAAACAGACCGAGCCAAATAAGCGGCCGCTTTGCTTGTTTGCACCAGGCCGGCCGCAGGCGGGAGGGCGCGATGGATGACGAACCGCTGTCGCAGTGCAGTGAGGCCACCTCCCCTCCCCACCGGGCCGCCGCCGGGCACTGCAGAGCGCCGCGTGAGCGTCCAAATAACGTACAGACTTCAAGTATTATTGAGTACAAAAAAGTTTGCCGCCGACGGTGGAGCAGCTTCCCCTCTGTAGTGCTGGTGCGGGGGCGCTCGGCGGTCCGGCCCCAAAACTTTTTAATCATTCAAACGCGATTTCCTCCGCCAGTCGCAGCAGTCCCATGGCTGTGGAATCGGCCCGCACAGCGGCCGGCGATGATCGCATTGGTCCGCCCCGAGGAGAGCAGCGGGCGGGCGGACGGGCGCTGGCGGAGCCCTCCAGGGGGCCGACCGACCATCACCAGCCATAGCTCTGCGCAACTCTGCGCAGCCGACCGTTCGGCAGAGTCAGCGTAATTAGAAAACGTCCGCAGCGAAAAAGTGGTGACGGGTGACATCGGACCAGCCCCGGCCGCACAGCAGGTGAGGCGCGGGGCGGGCGTGGGCGGGACGGGGCATGGGCGAGGTGGGGCGCGGG